CTTTTTCTCTTTCTGTTTTTGGTGTGACTGGACAGCTGCATTTAGTTGTTATAGGCAGTTACATTAATGTTATGCAACTTATGTGCCATTGATAGCCCCTGCGTGGGCGTACCTTTTGCCCTGTTGGCGTTAGAGCACTGTTTTTCCTTTTTTTATTTCGCATTTTTTTATTATCTGTGCAATTGATAGCCCCTGCGTGGGCGTGTTTTATTGCCTCTGTTTTATATTGTTTAAAAAATTAATAAAAACCATTGAAATAGAAACAGAATAGCATGCGTTTACAAGTGTTTATGTGGATACAAATTCTGATAGCTACCAGAATGCCAAATATTCAAATAGAATTACAATTTGAAGGGGGTATGACTTACATGCATACTCGGATGTAAAATATTAATCTAAACGTGGTGCAAGTTTATGGATATGTGTGTTCCTGTATGTACAGGACCATTGACTGCAATGGGTCGGATTCCCCTAAGTAATAAAATAATGCCTGAATACCTACAAAGTTGGTGTTTTTGGCCCCCATGTGCAGAAGTCATAACCCGTGACCAGTATTACTTATTTCACATGGTGGCAGCATTTGGTTAAGCCAACCATGATTACCTTAGCTGGTAGGAAAACAAGTGTGGAGGACTAGAAATCAAATTAGAAACCATTTTTGCAAGTTTCGTTCTGTTCTTGTAAATTCCTGTAAACAAGAAAGACAAACTACAAAAGCAGAAAAAAAGAGATGAAAGAGGATGACAGAATGTTCATAAATTATAAACCTTTCCTGCGGGGTCTTCACTGATCCACACACAGCAGATCAGACATTGATCTTCGCAGTGTTCTCAATGGCCCATGGCTTTCCCAAGTCCGATTAGATAGTGGAACCTATTGACTGATGAAGCCTGCCGGTATAAGGAGCTATAGGGGGAGGGAGTTATATACGATTCTGATGATGACATTGGATACTGGGAAAATGACAAAAGTGCTGCTACCTTTACAAAGCCTTCGAATACGAACATATGGAACCATTGCAATTATTGTCATTATTTCATTGACCCATTATTTATAAGGACTCTAACGGGAAGGTTGGTGCAAGAGGCAGCTAGACAGACATACGTTGTGAGGCTTTGACAATCTTTTATCCCGAATTCAGCAGGGTACAAACACTCCAGGCTATGTCTGGACTTCAAAGAAGTAAATATCTTCTATTTATAGGTCAGTCCTTACTGGCGTCATTAAAGAAGAATCTCACAGCTACCCCGCAACATGATTTTTTTTCAGTTGATGTTCTCAAATCAAATCTAAAGTCAAAACTATTGTTATGCTCCAGATAGAGTTGGGAATAGTCTTTTGATGCATTTGACCCTGCAGACTCAACCGGAAAAAAACTCTTTCAATAAATCCCAACTGCTCCGCTACAAGGCATTGCTCACCCAACCAGGGGCGGAATGACAACTCATGGGGCCCCCGGGCAATAGGGGATCATGGGGCCCCTGTGTCCTTGCCCAAACTCAAAAAAGCCTGAAAAAGGTACCAGGGGCATCTCATGGAGCCCCCTACTTACCCCAGTCCCTCGGGCAGTGCCCGAGTTTCCAAATGGTCAGTCCGCCCCTGCACCCAACCAAAGGGTGCTGGATCCAAGATGGTCCATGATCCGTTAACATGAAAAGCAGAGAACACGAATGGAGCCGTTCGCCTTTAAAGAGTCCAAGGTACATTCATTACCTGATACAGAGGAAATCCATCTGATCCTAATAAAGTGAAATGTGTAAAAGGGGCAGGTGGATTTTGTCAGTATCTGTTAATACCAATAAAGATACTCTGGATTCTCGCAAAATTAATTCAGAAGAGCTGGTTGTTAAGGAGCGGGCAACCTCCGTGTCCTTAACAACCATGATTCATTTTCTAGGTGTGCAGGCTCCCCAAAATCCATACCAGACCTTAACCAAGGATGCAGCCTGGCAGGCCAGGAAATGGGGTGGTGAGCAAGTACCCTCTACTCCTCCTGAACCATACCAGGCCACAGGCCCTCAAGATAAGGGGGTGCTCTGGGGGGAGAGGGCCACCCCCAAAGCACCTTGTCTTCATGTTGATGGGTACAAGGGCCTCTTCCTCACATCCTGGCAGTGGTTGCGGGAGTCTGCGGATGGGGGGGCTTATTGGAATTTGGAAGCTCCCTTTAAGAGAGCCCCCAGTTCCCACCCCTCCCCCCATGTTAATGAGTATGGAGTGCATAGTACCCCTACTCATTCACCAAAAAAATTGTCAAAAGTAAAAAAAAAAAAAACACAAACAGTTTTTGACAAGTCCTTTATTAAAAAAAACGAAAGCACCCAAATAATAAATGTCCCCCAAAGTAGATCCAACGTCAGTTACAATGAAAAAAACCCCACCCACTGAACATGCCAAGTCCTGTCCAGGGACACATGCGGAATGAAGCTAAACATGGGGTGGGGTCAGCCGGTGATGTCACCTCGCTGACAGCAAATGAGTCATGGTTGTTAAGTACACATCAGCCTCCAGCTCCTTAACCACATGCTGCCCAGCCACTGTAGAAATACGGTGGCAGGGCGGCACGGCTAGGCAAAACCACGTTTTAAAATGTGTGTTTGCAAAACAGGTAGGGGGTGCGCCCCCGCCCTACCTGTCCCGCCTGATCACGGCCACGGATGTCAGTCACCGGGTCACAGCCGTTCGTTACCGGCTGTGTCCCGCTGATTAGCGGCAATCACTGACAGAGAGTAGGGCTGCAGTAGCTGTGCTTTCTGTCAGTTCCCTGTCAGCTCCTGACATGCTGAGGCAGAGAGAAGAGTTTATCTCTCCCGATCAGCGTGTCCCCCTTGCAGTACAAACCCCCGCCCCCTAGTAAAAACACTCCCCTCACACAGTTAACCCTTTAAGTAAATACAAAAAGTTACCCCTTCCTCCCCAGTGCCATTAGTACACTGTCAGTGGTTTTGTTTTTGCACTGATCACTGTATTGGTGTCACTGGGGATGTCAGTGACCTCAGGTCAGTTCCCCCCCAGTGTCAGAATGTCCGCCGCAGTCCCGCCATAAGTCGCTGATCGCCGCCATAAGTCACTGATTGCTGCCATAAGTCGCTGATCGCCGCCATTATTAGTATAAACATTTTGTTAAAAATCCCAGTATCTTTCCCGCCATTTGTAAACGCTATAACTTTCACGTAAACCAATTAATTTACACGTATTGGGGTTTTTTTTTAGCAAAGACATGTCGCAGAATGCATTTTGGCTGAAATTTATGACAAAATTTGATTTTTTAATTTTTTTTACTGGACTTTTATAGCAAAAGTCCAAAATATAGTTTTTTTTTTCCTCAAAATTGTCAGGCTTTTTTTTTATAGAGCAAAAAATAAAAAACGCACAGGGCGATCAAATACCACCGAAAGAAAGCTCTATTTGTGTGAAAAAAAGGACACAAATTTCATTTATGTACCGTATTGCATGACCGTGCAATTGTCCGTTAAACTAGCGCAGCGCTGTATAGCAAAAAAATGTCGTAAATTGCAGTATCTATACCATAGTTTGTAGACGCTATAACTGTCACACAAAGCAATCAATATACCGTATTTTTCGCTCCATAAGACGCATTTTTTTCCCCCAAAAAAAGGGGGGAAAATGTCAGTGCGTCTTATGGAGCGAATATAAAGCGGCCGGTCCGGTATATTTTGCGGCCACCATGTCAGAATACCGGGCCGGCCGCTCAGCTGTTGTCTCCTGCAGGGCCTTACCTGTTCCTCGCTCCAGCGCTGCACAGTCTTCCCGCGCTGGCTTCTGTGATAGCCGGGTGCCCACTGCGCATGTGCTGTGCTTTGTGAATGATCCGGTGTCTTCTGGGACACATGAAAGGTCCCAGAAGGCGCTGGCCCATTCACAAAGCGAAGCGCTTCTCGCACCTGCACAGTGGGCACCCGGCTGTCACAGAAGCCGGCCCGGGAAGAAGAGGGAAGGACAACTCCGTGGAAGTGGGAGCGGGTACCTGTCAAATTCAGGTACCCACTCCCCCTCCCTCCCCAAAGGTCAGCAGTCTCTGGTCATTCCTTTCACTGTCTGCAGTCTCTGGTCATTCCCTGCACTGTCCGCAGTCTCTGGTTATTCCCTGCACTGTCCGCAGTCTCTGGTCATTCCCTGCACTGTCCGCAGTCTCTGGTCATCCCCTGCACTGTCCGCAGTCTCTGGTCATCCCCTGCACTGTGTCCGCAGTCTCTGGTCATCCCCTGCACTGTGTCCGCAGTCTCTGGTCATCTCCTGCACTGTGTCCGCAGTCTCTGGTCATCTCCTGCACTGTGTCCGCAGTCTCTGGTCATCTCCTGCACTGCACTGTGTCCGCAGTCTCTGGCCATCTCCTGCACTGTGTCCGCAGTCTCTGGTCATCCCCTGTACTGTGTCCGCAGTCTCTGGTCATCCCCTGTACTGTGTCCGCAGTCTCTGGCCATCCCCTGTACTGTCCGCAGTCTCTGGTCATCCCCTGCACTGTGTCCGCAGTCTCTGGTCATCCCCTGCACTGTGTTCGCAGTCTCTGGTCATCTCCTGTACTGTGTCCGCAGTCTCTGGTCATCTCCTGTACTGTGTCCGCAGTCTCTGGTCATCTCCTGTACTGTGTCAGCAGTCTCTGGTCATCCCCTGTACTGTGTCTGCAGTCCATTGGTTCAGAATATTTTTTTTTCTTGTTTTTTCCCCTCTAAAACCTAGGTGCGTCTTATGGTCAGGTGCGTCTTATGGAGCGAAAAATACGGTACACTTATTGGGATTTTTTTTACCAAAAACATGGAGCAGAATACATTTTGGCCTAAATTTATAACTAACTTTGAGTTTACTATAGATTTTTTTTATAGCTGAAAGTAAAAAGTATCATTTGTCTTCAAAATTTTTGGTCTTTTTTTGTTTATAGCGTGAAAAATAAAAAGCGCACAGGTGACCAAATACCACTGAAAGAAAGCTCTATTTGTGTGAAAAAAAGGACGTAAATTTCGTTTGGGTGCAGCATTTGCCACAGCGGATCACGGAAAGAGCCGAAGATGTCGGCTCAGTCATGTGATCAGCTGTGTCCAATCACAGCTGATCACATGTAAACAGGGAAATGCCGGTTATCGGCATTTCTCTCCTCTCGAGCTGCCACACTGACAGCTCGAGAGGAGAGGAGAGGAGAGCCAGTAATCGGCTTTCCGCGGAGGGGACATGAACACTGATCAACAGGGCACTGATGATCAGTGTGCCTTGATGATCAGTGTGGCCCCAGAAGTGCCACCTGTCAGTGCTCATCAGTGCCAGTGCCCATCAGTGCCACGTGCCAGTGCCACATCAATGCCACATATCAGTGCCCATCTGAGCTGCCTTTCAATGTCACCCATCAGTGCCAGTCAGTGCCACCTATCAATGCCAATCAGTGCCACCTATCAGTGCTGCCAATCGGTGCCACCTATCAGTGCCAGTCAGTGCCGCCTATCAGTGCCAGTCAGTGCCAGTCAGTGCCACCCAACAGTGCCAATCATTGCTGCCTAACAGTGCCAGTCAGTGCCGCATATCAGTGCCAGTCAGTGCTGCCTATCAGTGCTGCCTATCAGTGCCATAAATCAGTGTCATGTATCAGTGCTGCCTTTCAGTGCCCATCAGTGATACCTGTCAATGCCCATCAGTGCAACCTACCAGTGACACCTATCAGTGTCCATCAGTGCAGCCTATCAGTGCCCATCACTGCAGCCTCATTAGTGCACATCAGTGAAGGAGAAAAATCACTTATTTACAAAATTGTATAACAAGAACTAAGAAAAAACTTTTTTTTTTCAAAAATTTCAGTGGTTTTTGGTTTGTTTAGGAAAAAAATAAAAATCCCAGAGGTGATTAAATACCACCAAAATAAAGCTCTATCTCTCTCAAAAAAATTATAAAAAGTTCATATGTGTACAGTGTTGCATGACCGCGTAATTGTCATTCAGAGTGTGACAGTGCTGAAAGCTGGAAATTGGCCTGGGCAGGAAGGAAGGGGGTATAAGTGCCCTGTAGGCTTGTGGTTAAGTATAAATACAATATTTTTGTTGTGATTTTTTTGAACCCTGATCAATGGGGCCTACATGTTGGCTCCACCATTTCATATAAAATAAATATATACCTGGACAATTGATTCTAGTGTAGGCTTCTCAGATCCAGTGGAGACACAGAGCAATAAAAACCTGACAGAGTCTCTCACACCCCACCCACTAAAGTATAATTGGATTTTTTTAATGTAAAAGACTGTAGAAATAATGTGAGATTTGCAACTATTGAAAAGCAAGTTTTCTCAGCGTACTGCCCTATTCCTCTGAATATTACATTGTTCTTTATAGTTGATGATTTTGGCCAGACACAGGTCCAACTTTCACAGAACCTTTTAGAAGAGCCAAGTTGTCCATCATGGCTCTGCTTACACTTCACAGACCAGGAAGGTAATGGACATCTCCACAGCACCTGAGGCCTTCAAATTCTTCAAGTCACTTCCAATTTTCCACTTATCCTGAGCAAATGGACCGGTGGGTTTTGCGGCTCTACTTATACATACAGCAGAGAGGCGAGGGCTAGTGATGACTTGATATCTGAGCAGCAAAATTAATTTGCCTCGCAGCCAGAAAGCCAGTCCTAGGAGACCGAGGAGAGAAATAAGAGCAACGGAGAGGCGGGAGATGGGGGGGGGGAGTGATCCAAGAACTAATGAGAAGACCGAGAGAACGAGAGACAACTACTGAGAGACATATGAGAAGAAATGTGAAGCGGTACAGAAGAACGGAATGACAGTATCCAAGTGTGGTGGAGGATGGGTAATGGGCAGATAAAAGAAGAGTTAGAGAGGGGGATAGAGAGAGAGGAAGAAAGAAAATTGTAAGGGGACCTGTCATAAACCAAAACAGAAGCAGAAGATGTCATTCTTTAACCTCTTCAATACCAGGCATTTTACCCCCTTCGTGCCTAGGTCGATTTTCAGCTTTCAGTGCTGTTCCACTTTAAATAACAATTACACAGTCATGCAACACTGTACCATATGAAATTGTTTTCATTGTTTCACATTAATAGAGCTTTTTTTTGGTGGTATTTAATAACCACTGTTTTTTTTTTTTTTTTGCTAAATAACCAAAAAAAAAAAAAACCCTCCAAAATTTTGAAAAAACAAATGCACGTTTCTTCGTAATTTTAGGTCAAAATGTATTCTGCTACATTTCTTTTGCAAACATATCAGTGTTTATTATGTAGCGCCCCTGTAGATAGCCAGGGAAAGCAAATTTTTTTTTTTTATAGTTAGGCTGAGTAGCAGCCTGGGCAGTAGCAAATTGGGTCAGCTTTAGGTCAGGGCTGAGAGACTCTGCAGATCAGTTCCCTGATACCTCCCCCTGATCAAGAGATTTGGAGAAGTTTCTAGAATTCAGTGGGGTGTGGGTCTGATCTGCATACTTAAGGGATCCTGAACAATCACCAGGCAGGCTTGGCATGGGGCAAGGACAGCCCTTAAGTATAACTGAGCCTGCTCAGCAGCAGGAATGTTTGGGTGGAAGATGTGAGGAAGGCTGAGATGCAGGAGCCTAGGTGGGGGAGCAGTGGGAAAGGGCCTACCTCCAGGCAGTGGAGCTGGAAATGAGGATCTCTCAACATCAGGAGTCCCCTGACAGAGAACCACCTGTCGAGCCAGCTCAGCAGAAGGCCTTAAGGCAGCCATTGACCCAACACGCTCACAGGAGAGGAAGAGTGAGTACTCTTGCACCCCCTGGGCCAGATAACGGGAGAGGGCATTTGGGCTGGAAACTTGACTAGCCTCCATCTGGGACTGTTTGCCTTAAAGGAACAGATTCTGGACCCCCTGCCCAAGGACTCACCCAGCACAGCTGGATGGGGAGTAAATTCATCTTTACCAGGAAGTTGTCCTCAGTTTCAGTTCCCTTGGGCATCCCATACACCCCTTACCCCATCCAAGATCAAATACCCCTAATAAAACCTCCAAAAAAAAACAAGCTCAAAGACTGTTTACTGTCTTTGGAATGCAAGTCTGAAGAAAATGTGTGTTGTCTGGCTATGCAGGACTATAGGGGGACCCAAAACATCAGAAACTCATAAGGGGGTAGTGCCACAACTATTTAGTCTGTAGGAAAGTTATACAAACAAAGAGTCCATAAACTATGGTGTATAGCTGAAAATCGATCAGTCTTGATGTACTGACGGCCTATCTCATTTTTTGAGGGCCGAAAAACACCAGGACAGTATAAATATTCCCCAAATTACCCCTTTTTGGAAAGTAGACAGTCCAAGGTATTTAGTAAGAGGCATGACAAATTTTTTAAAGTTGTAATTTTTTGCAATTTTTTTGGGGAAAACGAAGAAATTAAAAAAAAAAAAATTTCACTATTTTTTTTTACATACTGTCACCAGTGTAGTACAGTGTCATCATAAAACTGGCGTGGCAGTGAGCAGAGACACTAACTTGTGATGAAAAACATATATATAATTTATTACATTTTTTTTCTTATTTGTAAGCAGTTTTTAAACATACTGTGTACTGTGACCAGAGCAATACAATGTAACCATAGTAACATTGTACTACTCTGGGGGGGTGAACAGGATTTTTGTTTATGATTTTTTGTTTACACATTATGATTGCTTATAGCAGTGAATTTAATTGCTATACGGAAGCATTTTACTAAATTAAATTGATTCATTCAGTAAGTACTGTGGTTAGCTGTGATTGGCCACAGCTAATCACATGGTACAGATAGACTGTGATTGGCTTTGTTTATAATTACTGTGACTCACCACAGCTAGCAACACAATTGTACATGAAATGACGTGAAAGGAAGCCATTCATTGTTTACAATTTTCATGTGGTCTGCTGTGATTGGTCACAGTAATCACATTGGCATTGGTGGACGCAGTGGGTGACAGATCACTCCCGTAGCGCAGCTGCACGGCTGTGTGTAAGGCGTGTTCCAGGAGGAGTGTTCATTTGACGTCCACCTGGGACGAGGAAAGTCCAGCCTGGCCATCATATTACAATAGGCCAGGCGGGAGGTGGTTAAAGCGGAATAGCAAGCAGATATAAAGGACACAAATTAAAGTAGCTTATGTTAAGTAATAAATCAATAAAGCTGAACTCCAGGTATGGTCTTAATTGCCTATTTTCATTGGTCCAGCTTGGCACAGTGTAAGTAGTATGCTTACCTCATACCCGAGGGACCTCTGGTGAAAGTGTCAATTACTGTAGTTGTTGGTGCTGCTACAGTGAAAGCCTTGATCTTCTGGGCCTTGTGCCGAATAAACTGCCCCACTGCATACTGGCCAAAGGTGGAGCTTTCTCCATTCACAGAACGCCCTGTACAAGGATTTATGATCAGGTTGCAGGTTTTAATTTTTTTTTTTTAATGCAACAACTGCATTAAAAAATTGCAATGGTCCTCAGCAGTTTGTATGGCCCCCATGTGCTTGTATGCATGCTTGACCATGTCAGGGCATGCTCCTAATGAGACGATGGATGGTGTCCTGGGGTATTTCCTCCCAGATCTGGACCAGGGCATCACTAAACTCCTGGACAGTCTGAGGAGCAACCTGATGGACCAAAACATCCTGGTGGCATCAGATGGATCAAAACATGATATCCCAGAGGTGTTCTATTGGATTTAGGTCAGGCACCATTCAATGGTATCAATTCCTTCATCCTCCAGGAACTGCCTGCATACTCTCGCCACATGAGGCCGAGCATTGTCGTACACCAGGAGAAACCCAGGACCCACTGGACCAGCGTAGGGTCTGACAATGGGTCCAAGGATTTCATCCCGATACCTAATGGCAGTCAGGGTGCCATTGTCTAGCCTGTAGAGGTCTGTGCGCGTCCCTCCATGAATATGCCTCCCTAGATCATCACTGACCCACCACCAAAATGATCAGGCTGAACAATGTTACAGGCAGCATAACGTTCTCCATGGCTTCTCCAGACCCTTTCATGTCTGTCACATGTGCTCAGGGTGAACCTGCTCTCATCTGTGAAAAGCACAGGGTGCCAGTGGTGGACCTGCCAATTGTGGTGTTCAATGACAATTGCCAATCAAGCTCTATGGTGCGGCCGGGCAGTGAGCACAGGGCCCCACTAGAGAACATCGGGCCTTCAGACCATCCTCATGAAGTCTGTTTCTGAATGTTTGGTCAGAGACATTTACACCAGTGGCCTGCTGGAGGTAATTTTGTAGAGCTCTGGCAGTGCTTATCCTGTTTCTCCTTAAAGGAGCAAATGGACTGGTGTATAAAGGAGCAGATACTGATCCTGCTGATTGGTTAAGGACCTTCTACGGCCCTGTCCAGCTCTCCTACAGTAACTGCCTGTCTCCTGGAATCTCCTCCATGCTCTTGAGACTGTGCTGGGAGACACAGCAAACCTTCTGGCAATGGCATGTATTAATGTGCCATCCTGGAGGAGTTGGGCTGCCTGTGCAACCTCTGTAGGGTCCAGGTATGCCTCATGCTACCAATAGTGACAC